TAGAGTCTATTGTATCCGATAGTGTGGAATAATGCTTCATCAACCTCTGTTTTTGATAAATTGGCATCAAGTGGTATTCCGAACTCATCAAATAATTTGGGACCTACTTCTCCAATTTGTGCAATAATCGTTATGAAAAGCCTGTCATCAAATATTTATATCAAGTCAACACTATAAGTTAACTTCAATCTAATCAATGATTTTATGAATATCATTAGTTCGCTCTGGCCAAGCAGCTATGATAGAAATAAAATAATATTATGAAGAGAAGGTAAAAAACACTGAAGCTTTCGTAATTTTAGACCAAATTAGGCAATATCAAAACTCGCCACCTCTGGAAGTCCACTAAACTTTAATGTTCATTCACCATCAATACAACAACGAAAAAGATCCAATCGCAATTAGAACCAATCAATATTTCTATAAACCAAATTAATTAATTATAATATAAATTTAAAACAATTATAATAAAAAAATAAAAATAAATAGATAATTAGACATTTTTTTAATAAGAAAAGTGATTTAACAATTACTTTATTATTAAACTTCTTTTTCATTTTATATATTTATTTTTTTTTTAATTTTTATTTTACAGTATTATTTTTCATTTTTAATATTTTTTTTTTACAATAAACTGTATACTTTGTATATAATAAATATTCAATGTTTTATTTCCGTTAAAAGTTTTTCTCTAATTTTAGTTTTAATTTAATAAATGAATGAAATATTTCTTTTATAATAAAAAGTGTATAAAAATAATTATTCTGATAATGTTCTCAATGTTTTATTTATTGATTCAAACAAAAATATAATTACAAAAAAAAACAAAATGAAAAATAAAACAAATTAATATATGAAAAGATTAAAAAAAAAAAAAATAAATAAATGTAATTAAAAGAAAAAAAATAAAAAAAATGAAACTTATAATAAAGTAATGTTAAGGTGTTGAAGATATTATAATTTATTATTTTTGGAAAAAAAAAAATTAAAAAAATTAATTTAGAATTTTTTTTATTTTTTTTATTTTTTTTTTAAATTTATCATCATTTATTGTGGGTACTATTATAATAATAATAATAAATTAAATCATGTTAGATACTGTGGAAAAATTGGAATCTATTCAATCATCAAGTATGTACTACTATTATATATAAATACAAATATATAAAGTGATTCGATTCGATTCGATTATTAATTCAATTTTTAACTATGAAACAGGTTTAAAGAATATAAGATTCTATCATAATGATTTAAAAGTATCAAATAATAGAGAATCAAATAAAATGTTTATTATTCTAGAGAATTTTCCATGCATTGTAATGCAACTTCAAAACAGTTTGAATTTAAATTTATTGCAGAAAGAAACATTACAATAAATCCATCCAACATTTCCAACCGCAGCTGCAACCACAATAAAACAATTCTACTTTAATAACTAAATTTAAACATATAAGATCATTGGGCTTTATGGTCAAAAGAAAAAAATTTATTAGAAATAAGAAAATTATGGAATTTATTAGAAATTAAATTAAAAGTAAGTGGTAATAACATTTAGACTAATTGATTATTGTTATAAAGTAAACATATGTAATAACACTTTAAATTATTAATTATAATACAGGCAGATGAATATATTTTATAAATAAAATCTAGAGATATAAAGCTTTTTTTAGAGATTTAAATTTAAATATTTTAGTATACAGAAAAGAAAAAAGAACATATACACATGTTTGATTTAGTAGAATGTGCATACTATTTAGATAATACAGAAGCATTGGAGTATTTCCTATCATTTCATATCATTAAATGTACCAACATTTTTACCAAACTACACAATTAATAAAAAAAGTTTTTCAATATCATCAATTAAATCATTAGAATTACTATTAAAATATCGAGTAAATATCATAGAACCATATAATATCAATATCAATAATAACAATAACAATAACAATAACAACACAACAGCAGATTCATCATCATAATCATCTTATAATATTAATGTCAATAATAACAATAACAATAATAACACAACAGCAGCTTCATCATCATCATTCAGTTTAAACAATAGTAATAATTATACAACAGAAGCATTAGCATTCAGTTTAAAAAATAGTTATAGAAACAATAATAAAACAACTACACCAGAACCTACAACATACATTTTAAAAAATAGTTATTGTAACAATAATTTAAATAGTATTAGTGAATATAGCAATCTAAATAATAATAGTACCAGTTTAGCCCGAAGCGCAAGTTGTAGTAGGCAGTTGTAATAGTAATGATATTAATTGGAGTAGCGGTAGTAACAATAAAAACAGTAATAGCTTTTAATTAATAATGGTAATATAACACTTCCACCACCATCATCATATAGAAATTTAATTAAAGAGGAATTAAAATCATCACCAATTTATATACAGTTAGTTGCATAAATTTTGCAACACACATATTATTTTTGCAATTTATATAATAAAACTTTATGGTTTAAATTTTGGATTTTCGGAGTAACATAAATAAAAATCATTTAATCTATACTTAAATAAAATATATTTTAAAGGTTGTAAGAAAAAAAATATATTATTTTTTTTATATTTTTTTTTTTTATTATTATTATTTCTATGTTGCAAAATTTTAGAATAAAGATTTTGAGTAAAGGTTTTTTTGAAATTTTTTTATAAAAAAATTTGTAGTTATTATAATTTATTAATATTTAGTGAATTCACCTCTATTTTGAATTATTTTATTTATTCTGGTTGAAATTGATTCATTTAATTTTTAAAAATGATTGTTCAATATTAAACCAAATAAGATAAATTGATTTATCAAAAGGTTCATGAGGTTTGGCGATGCAACGTTGAACTAAACGTTTTTTTAAGATTGACCATAGGTTTTATATTATATTTAAATCTGGTGAAGAGGGTGGAATAAATTGTACTCTAATGTTATTTTCTTCATATTATTTTTTAACAGCAGCTGACTTATGGACAGAGCAGTTATCTTGAAAAAGAGTGACTTTAAAAAAATCAATTTCATAGTCTTTTAATGTTTCCATATATTCATCTCCCATTACATTTATGTAGGTATCGCCATCCATGTTACCATTAATATAGGCTCCACAACCAAACTCATGCAAAGTAATGCAACCCCAAAAAAATTTTGAAATTACAGATGGTCTTTTTCTTTTTAAAATATTTTCTTCTTTCATATACTGCCCTGAATCCATCTTTTATGCCTCTTTTTTTAAGAAAATCTTACAATTTTGGTTTCATCTGCTAAAATCACCTGTTTCCAATTTTCTGTGGTATAATTTTTAATTTTTTTTACCTAAGTATACCTTTGCATCTCAGTTTCTTTTGTAAAATAATGCTTGCATTACAAATAACTATAAAAAATGTTTTGTCTCTTTAGAATTCTTCTAATTGTTGAAGTTGAAAGTTTTATACCCAATGATCTTTGGACAAGCTTAGGTAAACTAATGCATTATTTGATTGACCATTCAGTGTGAATTTTTTGCAAAATTTTTTTGTTTCAAAAGTATACTTTCTTGGAACTCCTGGAATTGGTTTTGGATTAATTGAGTTTGTTTTTTGATATTGTTTTCGAATTCGGTAAATGGTTGACCTATTTACACCAAAAAATATTTGCGATTTCTTGATCACTTTTTCCTTTGAGAAAATTTTCTAAAAATAACTCTCTTTTTTCTAATTAAAGGGCCATTTTAATTTAAAATTTAATTATCTTTTAAACTATGTTTGTAAATATATGAAAAAATAAAAATATAAATTTTTGTTAAAAATATACATACACTCAAAGTTATTTATCAAAAATTTTGCATCAAACAAATAATGACAATAAAAAAAAAAAATAAAAAAAATAAAAAAAAATAAAATTTAAAAAAATGGCAAACAAGAATTTTAAATAACCGACACTTATAATTTTATTTAAAACAAACAATATTTTTTAATTTAAAAATTCTTCATAGATATTTAACAATTTCTAAAATCAAAATGCTTGTTGCAAAATTTATGCAACTAACTGTACTACTACATTCAAAAACATTAAATATCGGTAATATTCAAGAGGCATTAGATAGGTTTAATTCAAACAGAGCAGACTACCCAAAGATTACCTATGAAGTAATAAAGAAATGTCTCAAGTATTCAAATATTGAATATTATATAATTATATAAATAAATTTTTTCATATAAATGGTCTTTTTTTATAAATTTATTATTTTTTTTATTATTAATTAAAACATCATTTATTAGTGATTGTTAAATCACCTTTCTTATTATTAAATAAAAAATTTCTAATTATCTAATAATTTTTATTTTTTTTATTATAACTGTTTTAAATTTATTTTCTAATTAATTTTTTTTGTTTATAAAAATATTGGTTGGTCTAATTGCGATTGGATCTTTTTGCACAACTTGACGAAACAGGTCCCAAATTATTTGATGATTTCGGAATATATATCACTTGATACAACTTTATCAAAAACTAAACAAAATTCTACTTCCCAATATAATAGACTCTACTACTTTGTCCAAAGATTATGCATAGCTTGATGGAACATATTCGATATATCTACCTTGATAAACAAATAATTCACTACCTGGTGTAAAAGATTCTTAAGCACTACACTTGATGCAACTTTACCACCACAGAAAGAAACCTCGGCCGATGAACCTAAACTTAATAAACTTCTATTTGATCAGCTGGTGGAGAAGCAAAAATACCAATTTCCTCTCATTCCATTATATTGAAATAACAGTTGAGCCTTCTTTTAGAGCCAAAAATTCGCGAGATGAACATATGTCACTTGATATCTTTTGTTGGGCGACCTTTTCATGTGGTAAAATTTTGAAAATTGTATCATCTTTAACCTTCCATTCTAAATTATTAATTGAGCAAGATTCGAAATGAATTCCTTTTGGTATCATCTATGTTCAAAGATTTGCAAATAAAATCGATTTATTACTATTTGATTTTAATTCTTCTAAAATGTAGTGATTTTAATTTTGATTAGTGGAAACATTTTTTCTTAAAACAGCTAAACCTTTTCTAGTTTCTTCTAATTCTTTTTATAATCTAAGAATTGCCATTTATTGTTCCATTTATTTAACTTTAAACCTGTTGCAGATAATTCATCGAAATCAATTTCTTCTTTTGAAGCAACCTTTGCAGCGGTAACTAATAAGTTTGTAGAATTTGTAAGTTTATGTTGTGATTGACTATTAATATAAGATTTAGAAGCGGAAAAAAGTTGAGAGGTAGCAGCAGAGATTACACCTTCAGCCCAAGTTGGATATTTTCTATACATTGGACCACCATTACTAGTTCTACCTTTTTCGACACGTTCTCTTTGAGCCAATGTCGCAGCACCGACCAAAGTTGATGAAGCACTAGTAATTACCATAGCGGCTTCCAGAATAGCTTCAACGACATCAGGAGCATCTCCTTCTTTCTTTGGTTCTATCTTTGACTTTGCAGCCAATAAAGAATTGGCAGTATCTTCAATGGTTTTAGCAGCAGCTAATAATTCTCTTTCGGCATTATCACCGAGGTCGAAACCACTCTCTAAATATTTCTTTTCTTTTTCCGACCAGCATCGTCTTGTTGAGCTAATGCATCCAATGCATTGACACCACCTCTAAATGAAGCTAAATTATTTCCCAATCTCTTACGATCATCATCATCTTGACATTGACCACCTTGAAGACGTACACTTTCAAATAGATTTTGAGCGAGTGCACCAATTTTTCTAGTTGCATCCATAAATTTACTTTGTAATTCCGGACTACAATTAATCTTGAGGAACCTTTAGAGTCATGGAATAAATCTTTTAATGAACCTGAAACTGAATTGACAGCGGCGAAAATATCCTTTTCTAAATAATCACCCTCTTGATTACAAAGTTCATGTAAACGATTGGCTTGTTGCATATGGTGTAAAAAATCTTTGATTACCATTTGATGGGTTGCTTCTGGATTAGGTTACTTAAATTATTTGGATTGTCGATTAATTCAGAAACATTACCAAACTTGATTGTTTTTTGAATTATTTGATTGCTAAAATCCTGTTTTGATGATGGTTCATAACCTAATACTGAAAAGATTCCGGGCAGGCCAAACTCTAATAGCTATTAAAACGCGTCATCATTATTAAATTGTGGTGGTTAGCTTGATTTATTCTATATCCTGCATATTTTGATTAATTGATAAATTATCAGCATAAGTAGCAATCTATATGAGAATAAAGCAATACCAATAAGTTGTGGATCATTTGTATTGTCTTTTTTAAAATAAGATCTAGGCACTTGTGAATTAAGCTGAATTAAACTTTTCTGTTAAACCAATTGTTAAAGAATGGCAAGCGAAAGTTGGAGTTACTTTATAGAATTTATTCTATCACTGTAAAGCAAATGTATTAAGATTTATATAAATAGTTGCCCGAGATTGAAAGACTTTGAAAGAATTTGAGTTTCTGCGACTTTGTGATTTTTTATGATAGTTATTGCTATAAATGTTGAGATTATTATTATTATTATTATTATTATTATTGGTGCAATAGTTCGTGGATGGATTGGTATTTATTATTATTTGTAAATAGTATAAAATCTCTTTTAATAGGTTCGCTGTGCATTTGATAAACATATGCTAAATCTTTATATAAAATCCTTTCATTCATAATATCGACGACAGCTGATCCTGTAAGTGTATTGAATGGTTTTATTTAATCTTCCTTTTGAATATTAATAAAAGTTAATTTAATTTATGTTAGTAATTCTGTTTCTATTTTCTATATTTCTTCAACGATGCTATTTTCTATATGTGTATATGGGTTTAATGTTGTTGTTGTTTTAAAATAATATATTGATTTACTTACTTATTCTCGAAAGGTTTTAAACATATTTTCAGTACTATTAAAACTATTATTATTATTATTGATTGGATGTGCTATAGTTTACATTATTGAAATTATTTATGTGTGTGTTTGTTTGTTGTGATCGAAAAAAATAAAATAAAAAAAAAAAATTTTAAAAAAAAAATTTAAAAAAAAATTAAAAAAAAAATAAAAAAAAATAAAAAAAATAAAATTATTTGATTTTAAAAAAATAAATATTATTTTAAAAATTTAAAGTGGCCGTAATGTTTTGACTAAAAATTGGGGGTATACATAATGTCTAAAATTTTTAAATCTAGAAATTTTCTTCTTCCCTATAAATAAATAAAAGTGTTATTAAATACTTTGATTTTTTTATTTTATTTTATTTTATTTTTTTTAATTTAATTTTACTTACATTGCATAATTGGTAATATATGTGAAGACAAATTGTAAAATTTTAGATTTATATTTAAAAGAATTAGTAATCAAAAAATGTTCATATAAAATGATTTAAACACTTACTTTCAGTTTTGTAGGATCTTTCTCCATTCATAGCTCCCATTCTACATCTTTTTTCGATTTCTGGTACTCTAGTAATTGGTTAGCATCTTTTTTCAAAAAGAAGTAAATAAATGTATAAATTATTTACATTTATCTCCTTCTTTTTGAATTTCTATAAAAATAAATTGGAATTAGATTATATGCATATGTGTTGGTTGTATTTTATTTTTACTATTCAAATATTATTTAAATAATACTGATTTTAATTATTTAAAGTGGTTATTAATAACTATTTTTACCTTTTTAAATCTATAATTGAACCCTTTGATCTTTTTCTTGAATCTAATTACATAATAATCTTTGCAAATATTGATTACCTATAATTTTTTTTTTATTTTATAATTAGTATTTTTTTTTGTTTTATTATGAATAAATAAATAAATAATTCAAAATAATAATTATAATAAATATCTATATCATTCACCTGTCAGTTTTTTAAAAGAGGTCCACATTCAATAATAAATGATTTGATATAGCCCTCTGGACATATACCCATTATATTAAGGAAATATGGTTTAAAAAAACGGGGGATTACCACGATGCCAAACATTATATGAATGTCACACCCCTGCTCCCTTACGGGCCATTGATTAGGTATACTTTGATATAGATAAATTATTTATTATTATTTGTTTACTATTTATTTACTCATATATTTATTATGATTAATTTTTTTTATTTTATACTAAAATTTATTCAAACTATTGAGAAAAAAATAAAAATACATCAATGTAAAAATGTGTTGTAAAATTATGAGGCATCTTTTTATTGGATTTTTTAAAACACACATTACCGCCATATTTATTTTTAAAATTCAAATAATTTTATAAAAATTTTTTTATTTTTATTTTTATTTTTATTTTTATTTTTATTTTTATTTTTATTTTTATTTTTTTCAACACACAACAAACACACACACACAAATAATTTTAATAATGTAAAATATAGCACATCAAACTAAAAATACTAATTTTAGCATTACCGAAATATGTTCAAAACATTTATAGAACAAGTTAGAAAATCAATACATTATTTTAAAACAACAACAACAATAACAACAAACCTATATACATATAGAAATTGGCATCTTTGAAGAAATATAGAAAATAGACGCAGATCCACAAACATAAATTAAATTAACTTTATTAATATTCAAAAGACAGGTGCACCAATTAAAACCATTCAATATCCTTACAGGTTCTGCTGTCAGCGAAATATCAATACCAATTGTTTATTGTAATATAAATAGATGAACATAATGTATGGTACCTAAACGATAAGTATGGTCTTAAGCTATCAAATATTTCTTTGATGTTTAATCTATTAATGTTTTACAAGATAACTGTCCAAAAATAGTTAAGGAAATCTCCAAAAATTTAACAAAAACAATGGAATGTCTTGTCATATGGATCCCAAAATACTCTTCAGACCTCAAAATTATTGAATATTAAGATTAGTTTTAAAAATATGTATAATTTACAAAAATCAAAGCAATTCTGATGTAGAT